ACACTTCAGTTTTCTAGCACCAAAACAAGCCAGTAAGAACTCATCAAACCGGGTTCGACGTTTATTCTCTGGTAACTACACAAAGCACAGATCAATGGCATGGTTAATGTATAACTGCACACCAAGACCAGAGCCCATGTTTAAAACCAGCAGAGACGACTGATACATGGTAAAGGAAACATAATAATCATGGATGTTTTTCATCCTGATTTAAAGACTCTGCTGCAGCTCTGACTCATTCCCAGGTGTTTGAGCTGCGACCTCTGACCGCTGCTGCCTTTAATGCTTTGAATGCTGCTCCATCTTAAACAGCAAACTCTCTGTAATATTTACTCCCCCGGGGCTACTGTGAGCATTTGCCACCAAAGCAACATTTGCAGAGGATGAAATACAGCTGTGGCTGGGTGAGAGGAGAGGGCAGCACTTTAAATGTTAACTCTCGCCTCCTGTTCTTCCACTGGAGGCGAGGCGAGCAATAAGCGAACACACTTACGCTGCAGGAACTGATCTCAAGTACATGATCAATCTAAACATGAATCTGAGTCACATGAAAAGGGTCAGAGGTTGGAGGAAAGACACTGAGGCTGCGGAGCATCAGAGTAATGTCTTAAATAAATCCTGACTCTACCTTCAAATCCTCAGCTTTGTTCATGAGACACCGGGAAACCGCACAAACCTTCCATAAGAACCTGGACTGTTGGAGGCATTTAGAAACGAGTGCACTGATAAACCTGACATTGTATTTTGAGAGAGGAGCAGGGAAGAAAAGCAACTGTAAAACTTTCATCATCCCAACATTTTAGACTTTTTTTTGGTTTTTAAATGTTTGGAAACTGGAACCCAACAAAAATAAACTGATCTGACTGAAGTTATATGAAAAAAATCTGAGGAAAAACTGATTTTAAAGGAATTTTTCTTTCTTTCCTTCTTTTAACCAGAATGTAGTGTACTTCCACTCCAGTTAAAACTTTTGTTTTGGTAGTAACTATGCATCTTAAATTTCAAATGTACACAGTTTGAATTTATTTCACTACTGACAGTCCAGCACCTCGGTATCATTTATCCCTTTGTGGATGGGTTCACACAACCCGAAATAAAAACTGAAACTTAAGTAAAACAAATTCCACACATTCCCTACTCAAACATCTCCTGGCTGTCGGGTCTCTGTCAGACCACCCAGACGCTCGTCCACAGTGGCCCTCTGTTTCCCACCTGCTTGACCCCCGCTGACCCAAACTGACCCATGATGGCGAGCCTGTCTTCCTAATTAACCCCGACTTTAAAAGAATTCACGCTCACAAAGACCCAGTCACAGGTGACACGCTGCAGGTGCTCCGTCCAGCTGAGGGCCGATCAACATGCACGCTGACGTCTGAAGGTCACAGTCAAATTACAGAGTATGTGAAGCTCTTCAGACGACACACCCTGTGTGTGAGTGATCTGAGAGGGCAGTCACACACACAGCTCCACCTGTTGTGTGGCGTTTGCTGGTCGAACAATCAAAGCAATCCTAATGTGCACCAGAGATCCTGTGGTTACCTGTGTGGGGTGGGGGAGGGGGGTCTGCAGGTCAGCTTTCAAAGCTGCAGACTGGGGGGAGGCTGCTGGAGCCCTGCCAGGTAACAAGAGCTGGGGCTGACATTGAAGCTGTGATCATCTGGGTTAACCTGACATAGGTGTGTCCATGTGTTACTACAGAGGGGAGGAGCTGAAGTCCACTCCAAAATGGGCGAAACTCATAAATATTGTTCATTGTTGACTTATCTTACAATTACCTTTCTAATTAGGCGCTTGTTCATTTTGTTTTTTAAATGTCAAAACATTGAAAAAGAGCCCTTACTATTGACCAGAAACTGAGATAATGACTCTAATAAAATCACTACCTGCACCTCCAAGTTGTTGACAAGTGTAGATGCGATCGAGGCAGCTGTAAAGGCTGTTGCTAATCTGCTCACAGAAATATCAAATGTCTACAAATGTTAACTCCAAGTAGCAAGCAGGATGACACAGTCCCAACAGTCAGCTGTGCTGCACAAGGAAGGCAGCAAGAACCCCCCAAGGATTAAAAACTTGACTTGGTTGAGACTAAAATGCAACTGAAATGAGTCAAAGCACCCACGGACTGAGAACAGTCAGGCACAAAATGTCCACAAGACCTGGACAAGTCCAGGTGAAACCAGAGACAAGGCAGAGTCTAAAGTCTGGATGTAAAGACTGAGACCTGATTTCTTGTGAACAATTGTAAACTTTTGTCCTGAAGGTGGCACTAGAGGTCAGCAGGTCACCAAAACATCTTCCAGGGACACGAACATCTGTACAAAATGTGAGACTTTTAAGCTGAGTGGACCAAACTCCTGGACAGAAGCCATGTAGGTACAACAAGCCACTACAGCAGCTGTGTGTCGGTGTGGTCCTACCTGGGGGAGCTCGGCCGCTGAGGGCGGTTCCCCCTCATGTATTACACCAGGACTCGCTCTGACATGAAGATACTTCACCCGCCTGCCCGGTGTGACAGGCGGGGGGGCAGCAGCCGAGCACGCTCAGTGCTTAATGGCTAAATTGGGAAGACTGTTACTAATCGCTTATTGAATAATGAAAGTGACACAGCTGATAAAAGATTTCAATACGGTGGATTATTCATAATATTTCACTTAAGCCTCTCTGGCTGAATAATAGAGAGCCAGTTGAAGGACATTAGGGAGCGTCTGAAAACATGTGGCACCCAGGGAAAGTGCCTGATAATAAAATGGTAACTAGAGTCGGTCCTGATGGAGTCTGAGGGTTAACGAGAACAGGAAATGACTAGAAAACAGAATAGAGAGGGGAGAGAAGAAAGCAGAAAGAAAGAAAGGAGGCGGAGAAGAGATAGAAGAATAAAAGGGATGAGGATGGAAAACAAGAGGACCAGAAGATTAACGAAAGGAAACGAAAGGAAGAAAGAATGGAAAGAGGAAAAAGAAAGATGGAAGTGGAGCAAAGGAGAGAGAAGATATAAGGTAAGAACAAGGTTGGAGGAAAATAAGGAGAAAAGGAAGAAAGAAAAAGAAAAAGGAATGGGGCATAGGAAATATCTATCATGATATTACGCTCTGGGATACTGTATAGATTCTCAAAAAACACAGTGTCGATCTTTAATCAACAGCTCACGTGCCATGTTGTTGGATGTTACAGGGACTGTGACAATTGCACATCATTTTTCTTGGCGCATAAAAAAATACCTTTTTACAGGAGATTTTACGCATATGAAAATGTGTTGCTTATTTGATGATAGTTTTTCTCAAATTAGATAAAAAAAAACAATATATCGCCTTGTTTACAGTATTGCAAAACATAGAATAGTAACCACGTATTGTATCGTATGTCATATCGCCAGATTCTTGCCAATAACACAGCCCTAAAGAGGAAGAGGAAACAACGAGAGAGAAGATAAAGCAGAATGAAAAGAACAGGATGGTAAAGACAGAAGAGAGAGAAGAGAGGGGAGGATAGATGGAAGAGAGGAAAGAATACAAGGAAACAAGGCAGGGAGATGTGGTAAAAGCAGAGACGAGCTGAGGGGAACACAAAAGAAGGGTCAGAAAGAAGATGAGGACAGAAGTGTAGAAAAGGAAAAGAGAAAACCGGAAATGGAGGGAGGAAAAGATGAACAGAAAAAAAAAAAGACTTTAGGGTTGAGGGCAGATGTGAGAAAAGAGAAGGAAAATAAAAAGCAGAGGAGAGAAAGTGAAAGGACTGAAAAGGAGAGGAAGAGCGACGAAGGGAGACGCATCATCTATCTGTCACTCTCACAGTCAGCTGCTCGATGCCTCTGTAATATAGTGACAAACATTACACATCTGCTGCCGCCACATCTGTTCATCCATCCACACTGAGAGAGAGAGTGAGCTAACCAGCGTGCAAATGTTTATCAGCACACAAAAGGGGATAAATCTCAAATCCAAATCCTTCACACGGGCTCAAACCAAACACCTGGGCCTGTGCCTGTACCGCCAGGGGTCATATCTCAGCTTAATTTCATCCACAGCTCTCCAGGATAATGCAACACAGTGACTCCATGGGTCTATCTTTCACTCTTT